ACAAGAACAAATATTATTAAAATATTTTATATATATTTCAAACTGAGAGTAGATAGGTATATGGACCTCCGTAGTCTGATGCCTTCGAGTCGGTTCACATCACTTAAATCGAGCCAAGTTTTAAGCTGTCCATCAGTCTCGTTTTCTTCAAAGCACAGTTAATTTGCTTCGAGTAATCCGAAAACTTCCTTGATATTAGTTTATTGAGGAATGCGACCGCAAGATTTCCGAATATGTTCGTAGTGTAACTGTCAGGTTGCTTTTAGCATTCGATTTCTTTTTGCGTTTGGACTGGAAGGCGCGGCCTTATCGCGTTGAGATTTGTTGCAATAAACCGCAACTTGCATTTGAATTAACGTCCGGGACCGCCTTTCAATCCGCCGCATCTTTAATTATCGACTCGCGAATACTACAGTATTTGGATTCGATTTTCCAAAAAAAAAAAAAAAGATTTTTGATCTTTCCTCCAACATTTGCTTAGAAATGGAGCAAGAAAACTTTGGCAATTTGATTTATTGTATTTTGAACTTCTCTTCCGAGACAGTTTACGATTCTATTTTTTACCTAAGCACTATCTATATCGTTTATAATATTATAACATTATGTGACCAGCTGTAGCAAACAACATTGTTTGATTCCATAAAAAATAAAAAATCAATCAAATCAAATAAAAAAAAATCATTGGTCGAATAAAAAACAAAACAAACTCAAACAAATTAATAAAATTGAAGGGCTTAAAACATAAAACATATTTAAAGAAACTCAAATAGTTGGGTAATTAATTTGTGTGAAGGTCTGGTGTGGGCTATAGAAACTTGTGTTCATTCAATTAACATGCTAAATTTTCTATACCTATACTTTAAGGGGAAAACCACAAATGCTATACTGTGCATTTGTCCAAATCACCCGAGGCACCGGCGACGAACACCCGAAAGCGGCCGAAACATTTATCCAAATAAAGAGAGTAAACGCGGCTCAGATAGCAAATTAATTTATAAAATGCGGTTATAGTATATTATGCAACAAGTGCGGTAAACGGCTGACTCACGATTTTATTTGACAGGAACGGAGCGCAGCGGAGCGAATTTTTAATAAACGAGTGAGTTAAAAACAAACGTCAAAATTCAAAGCGTGGGAAATATCTCCGAAAACATCCCGGAAATGTCCGAAGTCGCTCGGATTTATGGGAAACGAAACTGACGTGGTAAAGTGACGCTTCCCGCACGCTAGATCGGTGCGTAATTAGGTATTTTACAGACGGGAGTAGAAAAAATTATTTTACTTGGGATAATTATCTATATAGGTGGTTTTCACTTACACACTTAGAAACAAAATAAAATCAAAAGCTTACAAAATAAAGTAGAGGTTATTGGACATGCTATAAAGAACAATTTACGCTATTGTTTAAGCTAAAAAAAACTTACAACTTCTATTAAACATACTATAATGCAGGTGTAGATAGATATTTCATTGGCACCTAAGAGATTTTTATTTTACAATTGGACCTTTTAAAATAGGTATCTTTTAGTAACGGGACGCTTTCCTTTTCTAAAATTTTAATGCAATTTCAATTTTTTCATACTTTTTATCCTGATAACTACTTCGGTAACTTTTACTTTTTGATTCTTGGGTTGGGTAGCTGGTTATTTTTTTTGCATAATCCAAAGGATTTTATTTGACAATCATATCCTCAAAATAGTCGCAGCTGAAGTATTAGATAAAGATATTGATAAATTATATCGCTTATTAAATAAATTTATGATAGGTTTGGCTCCTTGATTAATTATAACACGACTGAATCTTTTAAGCTGAGTCAATGTATTAACAGATGCATTTTGAAAACATTGCAATGTAAACATAATCATAATCATTCTCTATCGAGGAAAATTCTTTCTCCACGGAAACGCTTTGCCGGCCTCCCTCCCGCGCTGCCCCGAGCGAGCCACGAACGCCCCAATACGATTTGGACAAACACGGCCATCACTACTTTAAGTGCCTCGGTAATAAAACAAATAAAAAATGCGATATTTTGTAAAAAGTAAAATTTTAGATAACTTATCAACCTACTAAAAAAAATCAAGTTTACAGACGTTTATCACAAAGAAAAGATAAAAATTAATTAACGCATTTTAATTTTATTTATTATACAAGTTTTAGTCCAGACAAATTTACGTGAAAGCGTTTTTCGATCTGGTTTTATCAACGTTTTTACGTATTAAACAATGGCAATATAGCCAATCCATATTTTTTGGGTTTTGGTTTTTATAGGCTTGCAAAATTGTAAATTGATATAAAAGCCCGAAAACAATACAATTTCGCACCTTGTTTAATAATAGCGAGTCTGCTCATCCGTCAAACCCTGACACGCTATTAAGCATTTAACAAAAAAAAATAGAAAAATGGAAGATCGTTGTGAGTGACTGCCTTGTTCACGCCATTTGAAAAATGACAAAATATTTCCTTGAAGCCTTTACGATACAATCGATCGCACAGCGCGATGCGGGGGAAGTCAATTTTTGCGACGAGCATTGTATGGAAATATTTTTTAGGTACAGAGTATTAAGATTTAAATTTAAAAAATATCGAACTCGGTGGGGTACTTGATAAGAATAATGGACAACAGAACGGTACAATACAACAATAATTAATATAGAGAAAAGTGAGCAAGTAGTTACAAGCGGCGAACTTGATTCAAATTGGAGTGGAATTCGCATGATAGAAGAGTGAGGCAAATTTCATTATTAGATTATTCTCCTTTTGTTGCTCATTTATATAAATGGGTGTTCTTACTCCATATATTGTTGTAGAATTGGCAGGTTAATTTTTTTTTGTGTCAATTGACCAGTTACCATTAGCCGAAATAATTTTAAAAATACCATGAAATTTATATTTATTTATTTATAAATATTTATATTGCGCCTTATGTCGCCGTCGCGTCTGTCTGGGTAATAAATGGAATTGATATTCCTTGAAGAGGGTTATAGGTGCAAGATGTTATTTAAAACATTTTTTGATGGGTCAGTTAAAAAGTGGTCAATTGATCAGTACATTAAAAAGTGGTAAATTGACCAATTCCAACGCTAGGTATTGGTCAAAAAATAGCAGATTTTGGTAAGACGAAAAAGTGATTGTGATGACGATGTGTCACCGTTAACTTCAAAAAGGCCGTTTAATAAATGAATTCCGAGTTTGATTTAAATATTTGGGTTAAAAGTTACAAAAACCTAAATATTTCAATTTGTCTTCAATATTGTCTTGGGCTAAAACGGTTTCCAACTTCATGAAACGAACGCCACACACCGAATCATCTCTTTTGATCATCCAGCGTGATGAATAATCCAACAATAATTCTAATGCCTAATTTATTTACACGGCATCAATAAGGATTATTTTTATCCAATTAAATCTCTGTGATATATAAGATTTGAATAAAAAACTCCGTCGGGAGGATGTGTCGAAGAAACTTGTTGAATCAATAAAATCGGACAGATTACACGCATTAAAGTCCGCCTTTTAAAAACCTCCAATTACCGACGTGCCTACATCCTGTGCGAGCCAATCCACCTGATTTGCATAATGATCCGAGAGTATTCGAAATGCGCGGAATATTAACGAAAATATTTAAATATTTACCTCGGTTAGACACATCCTTCCTTCGTGCATGGCGTTGATGCGTTTTCACTTTTGCTATGGCAAATTTTTCTCAATCGTTATAAAAATGTTGATTATTATTCGTTAAAATATTATTAAACTTTAGATTAGGATCCTATTACATTCACATAATTTTTTCTGGAAAAAAAATTTTGAATTTATATTTATTTATTTCTTTGTTATATTATGCAATAAAGCTCCCGCTTAAACACCGAATGGGACCCAAATAAATTTCCCTTTAAAATTCCAAAGACTTAGTTATAGAACATATTGAAGATGTGGCGTTATGTGTATTTAAATTAATCACGTTGTTTGACACCCTGATGGGAACTTTACTGGGACTGGGTGAAAAAAAATAAGCTTCCACTATAAATCTTAAATACTTAAATTCTGTATGTAGTGTAGTGAATTTTATCCCAAGAAATACGTATGGTTCCTACAGGATTCCGCATAGGTCGTCTAGACCAGGGGTCTCCAAACAACGGCCCGCGGGCCACATCCGGCCCGCGAACAGATTTTGTCCGGCCCGCGGAGAGCTTGTATACTTGAAAGAAAAATCTACTAGAGATTAGATGTTGTTTATAGCAAATAAATTTAGTTTACTGAAGTAATCTATTTTTACGTAAAATATTAATTAATATGACATCTACATTGATATGGTCATGGGCTAACTACTCATAACATTGTTGTAGGTTATTATATACTAACCAACAAATTATTGAAATGAATTCAACCAACATTTTATACATTTTAAATAAAAAAATAACTTATAACAAGCATAATGACATATGAAATTCTAATGAGATTTATGTAATTGACAATTAATGATAATATTGTTTTGGCCCTTAGAATTTCTTGGCGTGATCAATATGGCCCTAAGGCTGAAAAGTTTGGAGACCCCTGGTCTAGACTAATGTAGCTAAAATCCTGTACACAAAGCGCCTATAGAAACTTGCCACTAAAAATCAATGGTGTCTCACTTTCCTTTCCATTCTTTTGATATTGATGTTTGATGTTTTTTTATTTTTATTATTATCCGAATATGTTTGTTTTCTAATTATTCTATAGTCATTTTTTCTTATTATTCTATGTTCTATTATTTTTAGTATTTTATGTTACAGTTTCTAGATGTATCTTTTGTGCATTTCTTTAATTACTTTATTATTATTATTATTATTTTTACTATTATGTTATGATAAAATGTTACTTATGTTTTCATATTATAAATCGCTCAAGGTGCTTCTTTGGATCACTGAGTAGTTAAATATACGTATATAAATATTACTTAAAGTACGGCTCACACAAAAATATGCTGTAGTAGTATTGGCTAAAACAAAAAGGTCACTTACCCTTAATGCGACGAGTTACACAAAGAACTTTCTGAAACAACATATACATCTTTAATTACACAGTTTTAACTATATGTTATGAAACAGCACATTAAAAAGCATGAAAAAAAAAACTGCAACATCAGTATCCATCTCGTTGTTATGAAAACCACAAATTCACACAGATATTTTCTACATAACGTTAACTAAGAAAAACTTACTAACCAATACTTTAGAAATATTCGCTAGTAACGTTGTATTCGAAGTTACAAGACACTCCTGAATTAATATGAATTAAAAAAGGGGGCGCTCTCAGTTCAAATGAGATATGAACCAAATTTTTAAAAGTTAAACAGTAACAGTATATTTTACATTTAAACTGCAAACACAGTGACAATAACTGAACAAAAATAAGCACCAGCATGCAATGAAAATAACTGGCATTTCTAATAAGTTTCACAATAACCAAAGCAATTAATAACGATACATTTCGAAAAATTCAGAATTTTGGGCATATATCAATATCGATTGATCTTCCAAATACTGAATAAAGAAAGTAAAAAGGAAACAGACAAAGTGAAATTAATAAAGGAAAACGAAACCGCCCATCGTTCTCGTTGGATACGCCCATTATTGCTACCTACAGAAATGATAATATAATCTCCATGTTTTACACAATAATCACGTAATTTAATTCAACCCACGAGTCAATCAATTGTATCTTTCCTCTTCGTTTAACATCCAAAGAATATTAATTTCCGAGAAACTGGAGTGAAAAATTTCTCGCCGTATATACACAGCCATAAGGTAATTGTGTCACCGCGACTGATGATCGACAAGATTTGACGTGTTTGCTGATGAGAAAAATCATGACGGGATTGCAACACGTTAGCGGCCAAGTAACCCGTAAACAAACTCGTTTGTAAAACGATGTTACGGTAACCCGAGAGTGGATATTGTGCTTCTGTCGCTAGAAATCGGAGTGCAGAAAGGAGGAAAAATTGGGGGACAAGCAGACAAGAAAGCTGAGAGAATGGATGGCTAATCATGTCCGAGATGTATATGTAGTTTTTTCCTTGCATAAGGGATTTCGACACACGACATCCAACATTTAGAGCAAATTGACTCAGATCTGATTCGGTTTAATTAATCACATTTTATCGCAATGTACAAATAATAAAATAGTGTAGTAAAGAGCTTGGCTCTAATAAAAAATTCGATAACCATGAGGATTTTACTCTTCATTTTTCTAATTACATATTTACTTATTTATGTCGACGGTGAATTTAAAGTTGATTATTTCATTTAAATAATTTTTTAACCACCGATGAGAGGGTGGAAGAACGCTAACAATAGTCTTAAACCGCAAACAATGGCCAATCACTGGATGGTTTGTTTCAAAACTTCCCACCTCGAATATCTCGATATACGAAAGTTAAAAAGAAGTCCAAGTAAAAAACTTTCTGACCAAAATTATAATCTTAAAGTGAAATTAAATGGAAAGTGATAATGCCTTTTTCTTCGAGAAATTTGGAAAAATGTATTCTCCCCCAAAATCTAAGAAGGAAATTGTATGATAAATAATAAAATGGTCACTATGAGGAATTATTGTTGACAGTAATTTTCTTCGGTCAATTTTAAAAAATCAAACGTTAAAATAATAATAAATTCACTTGATCCCCCATAAGATATTTTTGGGGACAAGAGGCAAAAAGAGCGAAGCAGTTTTGATTAGTTAGTTAGTTTGTTTTTTTTATTTTTAATTTCGAAATTATCGAGGAGAGAAGTTTTAAAATATATAAACGATCAAAAAAAAAAAGAAAAGCAACCGATTAGAACTGAGTGTTGAGTGATTGGAAAGAATAGTCATGAGGTTACCAATATTATCTTTTTCTAAAATATAATATTTTTTAAAATACTCCATAATGTTATGGTCGTTACATTAAGATACAGTTTCTTCTCAATTATTGTTATTTACTGAGGTATATCTGTCTCTGCTCAAAGAAAAGCTACCATTCATAACGTTATGAAACACTTATTATAACAAAACAAAAACAAAGCAATGATAAACGTTATTATAGTTTCGAAAAGAAAAAATAACGAAATTAATTAATTTCGGTCTTGAATTTTACGTAAATGAAATGTTTAAAGGAATGTGAAAATGAAAATTTTCTATTAAAAAAACAGAGCGAAAGAGAAAAAAGGGAAAGAGGCAAGATTATAACCTACAAATTTGGTTCTTTCCCCTTTTGTGGATCGGCTCTTTCAGGTTTCGAACAAAAAATGTATTCGGAAATTAATATAACAAGGATATACTTAACCAGTCATTAAAAAAACAGCTGAGGGTCTTTGCTGCTTTCACATTGTAATTGCGCCGACATTGCCTGTGGCCCATGTCTTGATGTTGAGTCCAAAGGTACCGAGAATTCAAAACACATGCATACGTTTTATTTTTAACCTTCAAATGAGAGATCATGATCATGTATCCTGTAAGCTGCAGCTTAATATGAAGGAAAGACTGAAATTGCGTTTAGGCTGTTTTTTCTACAAATTCCTTGAGAGTGGGCACTCTTCAATATCCTCAATCCTCAATATACAACTTATTTTCGTAACACTTGTCACAACAACCAACTTGTTTACATGTATACATGTATTCCCCATCACAAAACGGCTCTTTTTAAATAAAAAATAATTAATTAATGCCTCGACGTAAAATCCTGATAGTCATTTAAATCTAAGACAAATTTATTTAGTAGAATTACAATAACTTTGTTCTAATTGTGGAAATTTATAATTTATATGCTCGGTTCAGGAAACAGCTCTTCATTTCGAAGAGTCGAAAAACTCGTTCTATTTTATTTAGACCAACAAAACATCTTGTTCAACAACTTCTCTAATATTTCAGACTGTTCTGTCGAATCGGAGATCATCATATCTATTTGTGCGTCGCTAACCTCGATAGTAAACTCTGGGTATCTAGTTACAATACTGGAATGTAGTTTAAAATTTTTAAAACCACACGCGTTTTTTTTTTGTGAGAGACTATCAAAATCATAGCATAATATATTTTGGTGGATGGGATAAAATTACCATTGATGGAACTGCTGTTGAGATATTTGACAACATAGAATCCTTTCTCTTCGTTTTTGATTTTTGGCAATAAAAATCTTAAAATCTCTCTGCTGAATAGCTACACAGAAAGCAGTAGCGGAGCGCTATGGCCTGCTCCGCAAGCACTTGCGACATAAAAACGTAGAAGGGTGCGAGAACCTTTACGGTGAAAACCGACACAGAGAAACTGTGTCGAGAATTTATTTCGCAAATGTCACCCGACGAAAATAGAACCCTTTCGTTAACTAAATTGTTTCGGTGCGAGCGGGCGACAAAAAAGTGCAAAAATTCACAAAGCTGTTGTATAATTCATTCTTGTCCGTTTTTCTGTTTTCTTTCTTCCCCGCTCGGAAGATGGTCCCAACAAATTTCGAAACCATCAATCACGTTTCAGCCAGACGCGCGATCCCTTTTTCGATAATAATTCGTGTACGGCCGCGGTCCGAAAAGTCGAAAAATTCAAAATTGGCCCGTTCATCAGGCTCCGGCAACGGCGGAATATTAATCGGTTTCGTGTTATTTCGATGTCTGACGTTATGTTTAATTCAAACGACACGGCGGCGGATCGCTAGAAAAGGAAACAGACACACACACACACACACACGAACTCACCGTCTACACCAGAAGCAGGTAAAATTGAAGGACAGGAGCGCATTGGATCATTAATAACTTCATTAAACTTTCACTGATATTGGCGACCGACCGTCTATCAATAATCTTTAAATTTTTTAAACAGGCTTATCTTACCTTCGCCAGTTTCAATCGGCCTAAATCACTAAAACTAAGAAACAAAATACCCAAAATACCAAAATACAAGTTGCTTGGTTTCCAGTTGGAATAAAGAGAGCCGCCACATACTGTCTGGACTTTACGTTTGAAGTATTTGTGATTCCAGGGCGGCAATACAGGTTACACGTAAATATCAGAAGAAATAATAAAATAAATAATAATAATAGAATAAAAGAAATAAAAAATTACCTTGACGCCCAAACAGAAAAGTGAAAAAAAAAAATGAATAGTTTTAGAAATGTATGCACAAAATTCAGTTTTATCAATATTATATTTAAAAAGTGGTCCACCTCTCAAAGTGGAGTAATAAAGGCCAGAGAAAAGAAACAACCTTGTCGTTCTCCACATGTTTAATCTAAAAATAAATAAAAATAAAAACCCATTCTGAGCAGGAACCGTAAACTCAAATGAAGAAAGTAAAAAACGCGTACTTGGACGAAATTTAATTACTCTGTGTTTGGTAGCCGCAAAAGAAGAAATATAGAATTCTCATTAAATCACGAGATGTTGATGTAGTATCAGAACTCCTAATAAACAAAATAAAATACAAATAAATAAAAAGACGATTTTACATTAAACTAGTGTGGAACAGGACAAGGCTGTTTCTTTTCTCTTATATCATGGAAAGTAAAATATATCTATGAATATTAAAAATCAATTTAATATAGTAGACAAATAAAAATATTCATATAAAATAAATACCAAACGCTCAAATTTAGATACTGATTTATATAGCAACTTTTTATTAAATTATGGTGCTGCGGAAGGTGCTACTTTTTGTCATTTTTTAATTTGAAGGTGTACACTCACACCACTTACTATTTTCTTTTGGCGTCTGAAAAGTTCACTTACCTTGGCAAGCTACGTCAACATAAAACCCTGTATATGGGAAAAAAACGAATTAGTGATAAAAAAAATTCCTATTGCCACTTTAGTACCTCAAAGAACTTATTTTCATTTTTTTTTTGTTTTGAAAAATGCAGTGCCACGGTCCTTTTAAATAACAATTAAGTCCTCCAAATTGTCACGTTATTTTAACTACCACCCTATACGCACTTTATATACCCGTAAATGCCATATTGCAAATATACAAGAAACGTTTAAGAGGTTTCAATAGCTTCCGTTTTTTTTGATAATTTTTTTTTTGGATAC